GTGAAAAATATGATATTGTATATTACTTCAGATGTGGAATATTTAGGTTAGTTTATGTTTAGATTTCATATAATCTAATTGTGCTTGACTTTCATCATAATACTTAGTATGAAATTGAATTTATATATTTTTTATTTCAATTTGTAAATTCATTCATTCATTCATTTTTTTTTTTTTTTTTTTTCCGAAACGATANAGAGAAAGCTCTATAAGTATGAAAAAGAGTTTACACCGGGGAACTAACTAGTTCCATAAAAACAATGACAATAAAGAGAATCATACATATGTGGCCTAGAAAACAAAGATCAACCAATTACAAACTAAATAGAGACTAAAGGGAAAGTATAAGCGCAAAATAAAACACACAAACTTGCCCAAAATAAACCATTACAACACTACAAAAAAATAGAAAGAAAGCCATTGAACCACTGGACCTGACTTCATATCTTCCCTCCACCTGAACAACAAATTAGTTATGCATGGATCCGAGATTGCATTGGCTTTTTTAGACAAGTATGATCGTTTAGCATAATTCGTTTTGTTATTTAAGCATGATCATTTAGCATCATTGGTTTATTTATTCAGGGGTCCCTCATTTTATTAATATTTATATTCTACATTTGGTAGTCAATTTAAAATATTTATCCTATCATTTTCTTGTTATGCAAATTATTACGATAGGGTTTTCAGGATATCTATTTAAGACTCTTATTCTTTTTGTTTTGAACATTTGAATTTTGATTGAAATAAAACATATTGAGAGTTTTCTCTTTATTTCTACCACTCATTTACGCTTTTGCTACATCAGTTTGTATCAAAGCAGTAATGATTACGGGTTTTGATATGCAGTGGGAGTTGTCTGGGACATGTCTATTTTTTGGTCCGGTCGTGGCGCATCATTCTTCTTGCACCTTCGAGGACTACTTACTGAGTGATGGCTTCCTATGTACAGGTGTGCGCCTGTGCGTTGTAGATTTTAGTCTTCCTTTCAAAATTCTTACCTATCTTCATGGGGCAGGTCATGTCGGTCGGGATCGCTCCATTGATTTGGTGTTTCGCTCGTTTTTTGGGTCGTCTTTGCGCCGTGATGTGAAGAGATATGTTGAGCGCTGTCGTGTCTGCTAGGTTTTGAAGGGCGTGGAGTCTAACGCCGATCTTTACCATCCTTTGGCGGTTTCCTTGCAACCATGGTGTGCCATTATCATGGATTTCATGCTTGGCTTGATGCACACTCAGCGGGGCCATGACTCGATTTTTATGGTTGTTGATCGCTTTACCAAGATGGTACATTTTATTCCCTGGAAGCGCATGACTGACGTTGTTCATGTTGAGCAACTGTACTTTCGAGAATTCTATGGCCTGCATAGGTTGCCATTGTCTATTGTGTCTGATCGCGACACTTGCTTCCTTAGTTTCTTTTGGTGTATTTTGTGGCACTAAGCTAATACTTGTCTGGATTTGAGCAGTGTATCCTCTGCAAATGTATGGATAAACTGAGGTCTTCTTCCGGTCGCTCGAAAACTTGTTGCGTTGCTTGGTTGGCAAAAATTTGCGCCGTTGGGATCTTCAGCTCAGTCAGGCCGAATTTGCGTATAATTCGGCCACTAGTAGGGTTACACAGATATCTTCTTTTCATGTGGTATACTTAATCCAACCACGTGGACCTGCAGACTTAGTGGCCTTGCCGTCGAAAGATCGTGTGAAGCGACGGTCCGAGGAGTTTATGGGGGACTTTTGTCGAACTCATGAGACAACCAACGCGAATTTGGAGGAGGCAAACACATCGTACAAGTGACAAGCAGATGCTCGTCAATGTCATGTGGAGTTTGAGGTCGGTAATTTTGTGTGGGTAGTCTTGACGAATGATCGATTTTTTGCACATGAGTAAACAAGTTGTGTGCCCGTAAGATCGGCCCGATGTAATTTGTTGAGAAATTCAATCCAAATGCCTACCGCCTTTGTTTGCCTTCGCACATTCGCACGTATGACGTCTTCAACGTCTAGCATTTGTTTCCATTCAATAGCGACAATTCAGATGAAGACGAGATTGCAACATATTCGCGAGAAATCCTATGAATTAAGGCTACGTGATGAAAGCGAGATTGTGTTGCCCTTTTTTGTCAAGCATGATCGTTTATCATCATTGGTTTAATTATTTATTTCTTTTATTTTATTATTATTATTATTATTATTATTATTTATATTCTAGATTTGATAGGCAAATTAAGATATTTATCCTACTCATTTTCTTGTTAGGTAAGTTATTAGAAAAGGATTTTTAGGAGATCTATTTAAGACTCCATTTCTTTTTGTTTGAGTAGTTGAATTTTGATTGAAATTAAACATATTATAAGTTTTTTCTTTATTTCTCTCAATCGTTTATGCTTTCGATACGTCACACAGATTCCTCAATTTCTAGAGCCACTAAAGAATATACGTACATAATTGGATTCTAGGTTTTGAAGTTTCTTTATGGTCCTAAGAGCACACATTCCACCACCATTTCTTAAAGTTTCTTGTTGCAGAATCGATTCCCTCCCAACAAATTGGGACAAGTTTCCAAAACTTATGTGCCCTTTAGCAGTTGAAGAATAAATGCTTTATTGTCTCCTCAGCTTCCCACATCCTTAACAAATTGTATCAATATACATTTCTCTCTTCTTCATTTCCATGTTGATAGGAAAAGATCCAGAATAACACTTCAACAAGAAGTATTTTAGTTTATAACCTTTTACTTTTATCTTCCAGCTTTATTGTGTAACCTTTTTGTCTTACACAGCAGACTCACTCCACTCAGGTCTATCTAGTCTTCTAGTTTTATCTGGTATGCTTTTGGAGTAAGTATTTGTCACTAGACATGGCCCAGGGTCGCCCTGTGACCCGGCTCAGAATCGGCCCTAATATAATGGTTTTTGAACCGGACCCTTAGCCTATAAGGGCCGGTTCAGGGTCGATTAATTTTTTGCCTTTTTGACCTGCCGGTCCAGAAAATAGATTACCTCCGCAATAATATGTTGTTGAACACGTAAGTGGAATTCCTGATAAGTGGTCAACTTGTTTTGACAGAGCGACCATCGGAACAACGAAACCGAGCGAAGATAGGTGTAGGCAGAGATAAGGAGAGTCTCAGGGTGGCAACGCTCCAAATTTTGAGGCCGAGCATTAAACTAGGCGATATAGTCCCTTAGGCTTTCATTGACCTACTGAACGATGTTCGCGATGGACTATCTTGGGATCATGCATACTTGCGATCCCATAAAGTGCATCTGAAATGCCGATCGCGGTTGATCCTAGTTCTGAATAGACTTTGGGGGTAGAGACTGATACCAACGTTGTGCTTTGAGTCCCAAAGTAAGAGAGAATTTTCAACAACGAAAAGCATCGTTGGCGCCGTGAAAATCCATCCAGGACATGTATTCTTCCAAATGGGCATCGAGATCAGTGTCACCATGATAGAGACCGATTTGGGGAACCTTGGTCTTGTTAGGGAGGATCTACGTCAATATATGTAAAGAATGTGGAGAAGTAGGGTTGGAGGAAGCACCTTCAGGAGATGAGAGGGGGTTAGAGGTGACCCAATCTGTTTCTAGTGTCTACCGTGCTTCGAGTTCGGCGATCTTGTTTTTTCGTGCGGCGATCTCTTTAGCTTCTTTCTGAAGGATTCTCCAGGTGATTTGGTGACGGAGATCTTCATGTTTATTTCCAAATCCGTTAAATACCAATTGAAGGTTTTAACTCATGTGAGCATGGCGATCGTCCATACTTTCACGATCTTTGGGATTGTTAGGATGCTCGGGAAGTTTCTTTTCTTTTTCCTTGTCGAGGGTCCCAACCTTTTCTTGCGATTGGCCTCCTGAAATTGGAGATTTTGTGTTTGGCCAGGATTTTGATGAGTGGTGTGTAGATTAGTTTTTTCAAGAGGATTATTGTGCAATATTTGGAAAAACAGGTCAGTGGGGCATTTGACAAAGGCAAGATTGTGAATTATATCGACAACATCAGGATGGGGAGGAGTGTTGTCCTCAGGTTGGAGTTAGGTAGGACTTGAAGAGTGAGACATGGTGAGATTTGATTGTCACAAGGTGGATTCACCGAAATAAGTGATTGGGTCTCATTCTAGTGTCAATTTGTTTACGAGCGATCGCCAACGTTTCTTAATTAATTATAAGATTAAGGATAGATGAATAATGATTAGGTAAGTATTTGATGTGTATTAGGTGGGTGAGTACAATAAAATGAAAAAGAAATAGCACACGATTTCGTCGATTTGCTGGGAAATCGACGAGGATAATGGTTCTCTGAATAAAATGAGTAGTGGATGGTTATTGTTACAATGATAGCTACAGAGCAAGCTTGTGTATGCTAGTGTATGGGTTTAGCTTGACTTAGCTTGTTCAACTTGTTCTGAAATGAGGTGTCAATGGGTTACCTTTATACAAGAAAAAAGTAAAGTGTAATGATGATTATGTGCCACCTCGATTGGCTAAGAGGAGGACGCGTGATGTCATGCAAGAGTTCATCTTTTGAAGAAGGGTCGTCTTTTTGCAGGTCTGCAGGAAAGACCGGTTTGGACGGCGAGATGAGACCCTTTGGGTGGTTGTGTCACCATATTCAGCGGTTTTACTCGTTTAGCATGTCATAGTGCATTCATATTTCGCAGAACGATCGGTTATTGACAATTGGTGGAATTGACAACTGTAGATAAGGGTGACCGTGTAATCGACTGATCGTCTTTTCACTGTTGGACCTATCTTACTAGTGTCCTTGGACCTTGTTGAATGATATGATGTAGCGATAATGGGCCAATTTTTTCGTCATGAGTTTCTGAAGAGGCGTTGTAGATATACACAACAATATTTATAAATATTTTTAAATAAAATGAAAATAATTATTCAGATACATCGCACATGTAAATATTATTATTATATTTATTACTTTAGACGTCTGAATGCTTTAAACACCTAATAGTTTAATAAACAATATGTTTACATAAAAAAAAATGTTACTTAAAATTAAAATACTTTATAATATTTAAAAATATCATTATAGTAAATACCCGTCCAAACTACTGCTCGACCAGTATACACCATTGAACTTGGAGATTAAAGGGTGTTCCATAAAATATTGAACTGAGGATACAAGGACACACCAAAAGATGAAATGCAATCGCGCAATCGAATACAAATCTTTATTCCATAAAACTCGAGACTTGGCCACACCATTTTGGTCAAAACATACCAAAAGGAAATTACCAGCTCAAACAAACCATAAACCAAGCACACACACACACAAACGATATCCAAATCGCATTTATTTTAAGACTTATATATAGAATATTATTATTATTAGATGGTGTGCTTGGCTTCATCTTGTAGTGTAGCTTCTTCTTAGTTGACGAGAAGAAAAGCATCCACAAGGGTGCAGATTGATATCACAAGGGGAACATAGAGCTCCGGAGGTGGGGTCAAAATAGTCTTTTTCTCAAAGGCAAAAGTCCACGTGGCAAATCCTTCCCCAACAGTGAGCGTGACCTTGAAGCTTTTGTACAGTAACAAAAGATCACCTTCCAAAACTGCGAATGTGATGGATTTTTCCCCATCGCTTATTGCCTCTATTTTCACTGTGGCACTCAATGGAATCCCACCTGTATTTCGTGTTTAAGAGAACCAAAAATAGACACAAAATAATAAAATAAAATGAATGATAAATATAAAATTAAGCAAGATGTACTAATTAATTAATTACGGAAGTAAATTATTCGAGCTTAAAAGATAAACGAGCATGAAATGAACCTAACTTTTACCAAATTCAATATAAAGTACAAAGTTCCCTTTTTTTATTTTTAACAACAATTAACTGATCAACTTATGTGGATTCCATGCACAAGCCCGAACTATATGTTTCAAATCTATTAAATTTGAACTGAATTTTATGAAATGAAGAGAAATGACTAGATTTTTTTAAGTGTAGCTTCGTGGAAATTTTAAAAATTAAGGAACTATAATAAAGTCAACTAGGACCAAAACTGAGAATTAATGCTCTTAAATTATTTTACTAAATATTACGTCAGAAAAAATTATTATAGAGTAATAAAGATAGTCTGACCAAGAATATACTTCCAGCGCTTGACACAGCCAACCTTTCCTTCTTCTCCTTCAATAACATCCACGCCGGTAACGAATGCCGGACACACATTGACGAGATTGTTCATATTCAGCTTAAAAAAATTGAAGAATTTATCAGCTGCACATGTTATTGCTGATTTGGTCACAAGTGTATCCACAGTGTTTGCCATTGCAAATAATTAATTTATTATTATTATTTTGATTTTGGTACGATTATTTCCGAACGCGATTCACATGGATTTATAGCTGCGATCTTGAAGGGGAAAAATAATATATTTAATTGTACACTTGGTTTTGCTGTTTCAATGATGTAACCGTACAACCAGAACATGCCCATTATTGGGTTAATTATTGAGATAATTAATGAGACCTTGCTGGCATAGTGGCATATCTCAGTTGATGATTCGATATAATTATTTGTAGTAATTCAATGGTTTATATATTTAATTTTTATTATAATTTGTATTCACGAGTTATAATTTGTAGAACTTCTCAAATGTAAAAGTTCTCAAATATGTGCAAGATATATAATTAAAAACATTGTAAATCAAAATTACCTAATAATTTATTAACTTATTTATACAGTAATTTCATAAATATCAAATTTATCATCATTCAAATAATAAATATACAATTCTAGTCAACTTTAAATTAATCAAGCTAAATATTTCTCCATATATAAAAATTTGGAGTTTTTATATTATTCCTTCTTAAATATAAAAATTTAGAGTTTTATATTAATTATTAAAGAGCTAATTCCTTCATATATATGACAAGATTAGTACTTCACAAAAGAATTTATTAATTAGCATTAGCCCAAGCAGATTGGCCAAGTCAGGCTCTAACCTTTTTTTCTTTTTTTTTTTGGTACAATAGTCAGGCTCTAACTTTAACTCAGACAAATCACCCATATAAGAGATGTATAGCGTAAANATATATATATATATATATATATATATATATAGATATATAGATATATATAATCAAATATCTGAATTATTGTTAGCAACGTGAATCATATGGATCCACATTACTAATTTTATCATCTATTTCATTTTTTCTAATTTCCAGCTAATATCATATGGATCCAAATTTTAAATATTACCTCAATTCTGAAAATTTGTCGAACTCTGAAAATTTTTAGAATTTCGATGTCACTTGTAAGAATTTTTATTTCTTTTGATAATGCTAGTGTTAATACTGCATCTATACCCGACCTTAATGGAATTTGTCGTCTCCTTTGTGGGGGAAAATATTTTCAAATTCGGTATACGTGTCATGTCATTAATTTTTGTGTTCAAGTGGGTTATCATGTTTTGAAAGAGACAGTAACGCCCACTAAGAATATCATTACTTATTTACATAAACGTCCGCAAGATATGTGAAAAACTTTAGTCCTGGGCCCGTCGCTTTCTTGATAACGGCCTATTTAAATACCTATATCCCTGGTAAAATAAACTCCAAATAAGTAAACGTCCGCAAGATGTGAAAGATTGGGAAAGTATTGTTAGGAACTATGTTTTACACCTAAAAAATTCCAACCGTATATTCCTACCAGTTGGAACTCAACTTAGAAATTATTATTGAAACTGTATACATTTTCTCATCAATTTGAGGAATTTTTTAGTAGTTCCCATTATAAGGATGATTGTGATGTCACCGTTACCACCCAAGATTGGGTAAATTTCCACACACTTATGCAATTTTTAGAAAAATTTCAAGATGCTACTAACGTACTTTTTTGTGTTTACTATCCTACTGCTCAACTTGTTGTAAGTCAATATGTAGCTATAATGTGGGGTTTTAGAGATATTTTTACTAATGATCCTGACTTACATGGCGAACTTATGTGGATTCCATATATCCATGCACATGCCCGAACTATATGTTTCCATTGTGGATATTAAATATGAACTGAGTTTTTCGGAAGGAAGAGAAATTACTTTATTAAAGATTAATTTAACTTTTAAGTGTAGCAATTAGTGGAATTTTTAAATTTTTTTTTATGTACAGAACACTTCATCAAACGTACGTTATGCAACTAAGTAAAGACTGTCGGACATACTTTGACGAGATCGTTCATGTTGACCTTAAAAAAATTGTAGAATTTATCAGCTGCACATGTAATTGGTGCCTTGACCACAAGGGTATCCACAGTGTTTGCCATTGCAAATAATTGAAATGGAGTTTATAACTAATTATTATTATTATTATTATTTTGACTTTTGGTACGATTATTTTCCAACGCGATTCACATGGATTTATAGTTGCGATTGTGTAGGGGAAAATAATAATAATCAATTGTACACTTGGTTTTGCTGTTTCAATGATGTAACCTTACAACCAGAACATGTCCATTATTGGGTTAATTAATGAGATAATTAATGAGACCCTGCAGGTATATCTCAGTTAATGATTCGATCTAAATATTTAACTTGTAGTAATTGAATGGTTTATACTACTCATGGTTTATAGATTATACTCATATATTATCCTTAATTTTCCCTATGTACGCCATGCATTGTTTCTTTTATAAGATAAAAGTTTATTTAGGACTGACCAACAAACTCGTCTGGAACAATTTCGACCACGCTTGAAAATATAATTTTGGGATTCCAATTATCTTGCTTCGTAGAGGATAAATAGTGCAGAACGAATCGAACTCAATATTTTACTTTTGACTTTTTAATTTCCTTCTTTTCTTTAATTTCTTTTCATTTTATTTAAATTGATTGTGAGTCATCAATTATATAATTTGTTCGGATAATGTCTCTTGTTCTATTTTTCTAAGAGCATCCACATTCATGTCTATTCATTCAAACACAAATTATATTTTTTTTCATTCAAATTATGTTCACATCATTATTTCACTAGTGTAGATTATGTGCGATGCACGAGGTGCACAGTTTTAAGGTTATTTACCTATTTTATTATTATATTTGTGAATAAAAAATAAATAAATAGAATAAAAAATATTATTATATATTATTAAAATTCTCCTTGTAGACAATATTTTTTGCCTTGTAGGAACGCCATCCTCCCACAAACTAATATTTTCAAGCTCTTTCGATTAGTCACACGGGAAACAACTACATACAATTGGCTGTAACTGAACACCGACTTCTTCAAGAACATGTCAACATGTGGTAAAGGCTGACCCTGACTCTTGTTAATTGTCATGGTATAAGAAACCATTTGGGGAAACTGTCTCCGTTTAAATTTTAAAGGTACTACAAAGTCGAAAGGTGTTTGTAATCTGAGGTATCAACACATTCTTTCCTGCATTAGATCAAGTCAATACCTTACATTCAAGTACACGAGTGGAGAGCTTTGTGACAAACAATCCTGTACCTTACATTCAAGCACATGAGCACCAAAGTTATTATAATAAACTTCAAATATATTAATGTTAATGTTCGTATTAGTATTATTATTTATATAAGAACACGAATTGCAATGAAAATAAATGAAACTCAACTCCTCATCATGAAATAGGATTTCCATATAATTTTTATATTCAGTGCAACAATTATTCGAATTACCCCCAGCATAAAACATGCTTTATCGGTTCTTGAAACTTGCTTTGGCAAACCGAATTTGCACTTCATGTTGAAAGTATTGTAATTGTCTAAAAGTAGAATTAGAAAATAATATTGAGCATTTAAGTTATACATGATTTGTCTATCAGTTTATAGAGTTAGTAAAAGGCTTAATTGAATTAAATTTTAAAAATTTTAATTTGAAAATATTGTAGAAAGGCAACTTATGGTCTAGAAATTGCATCAATTTAATTAATTTGTAAATATTATTTATTTATTTTAAATTATAATGATTTAATATTTAATATTATGATTAATTTGAAAAAAAATATTTATATATGCTGCAATGTTCTTCATTTACAGTGCTAACACGTTTTCTTGAGTAGATGTGGAAAAAAACCTATTTCTTTGTTAATAAAATTTCTGACTATTGAAAGATATATACACACATTTCTGTATGCCTTTTTTTGGCAAAAAAATCAATTTATTTGGAAATAAATTTTTTGTATATTGCAAAGTAATATCTCAGCACACTTTTTTATTTGTAAATTAGTATCTATCACATATTTGGCAAAATAAATCTTTATGTATAGCTTGGTTATTTTGAATATCTTGAGATACATATAAAATATAAATTTGAATGTTATTGTGTTTTGTATATGTATTAGTTCGATGTCTATATATAATAAATATTGATTTCAGTAGATAAAAATTTTATTTAAAGTTCATTTTCTTATTTTCAGAACTTTCATACAAATTGTATTGATTACATTCTACACATTTTTTAAAGTAAAAGATCGAAGTAATCTTTAGAATTGATTATATAAGTATAGATATCGAATACTAACATCACTTTACACATAACTAAATAAATTTAATATTTTTTATGAATATTTATTAGTTACATTTTTATTTATGGTCATTTGCATTTTTATTGTGAAAAAAATTATAATAAATAAAAAATTTAGAAAAAAAATATAAGATATATTTAATTCATAATTTTTTTAAATAAAAAATACATAATATTGGATAAACAATTCGAATTACTAAAGTTAAATATCTTAAAAGTTCTATAGTATTCTTGACAGATGTGTGAAATTATCTAAAATAACACCTAAACTGTTTTACGCTATTATTTATATATAGGCACAACGTGAAATTTAATTTTTAGTAAATTTACAAATCAAATTTCTAACTAAGCTATGTATTATTTATTATTTAAATTTAAATCATGATAATATTCACAAGATAGATGTTATCGGCATATATATTCAAATTTGAATTTTTATATTCAGGAATTAAGTCATTAACATCAGTGGTTTCATGAGATAAAATTTAAGTGACATGTTGGCATCCCATATTTTAAAATTTAAAATTTAAGTGACATAGTGTGAAGAATAAAAATGTTATCCCATATTTTTAGGGCTAATGAGTGGAGATTTTATCACTTTAAATCAGTTTATATGGCACGACTTGAGACAAATTTGAGGGATTCACATTCTATAAAATTTTCAAAATTTCCTTTTTAGCATTATTTAGTTAATTTTTCTTTTTTCTAATTAGATGATATTAGAATTATAGTATAGTTCTTAGTACATAACTAGTGCATGGCCCGTGCGATGCACGGGAAAATAATATTACGATTGTATTATAAATTAAATATATAAATAATATTAATCATAATTTATCCATTGTTTTTAAATTAAACCGGG